GGAGACACCAAATCTATTAGGCAGTTCCCGAATATGAAAGGCTACGACCATCCTAAAAATGGCTCGGAGACGTCCGAAGTCCGTACTCAGAAAGTAAGGCCCTTACGAAAATTCGAAACATGTTAAAAGTTTATCCTCGGCAAAAAAATCGTCTAAAAACACTTAAGAATCTTAAAGGCCTTCGATTTTACCAAAGATTTGAAGCCACAAGTAACCTGAAGTCACATTGAAGTCGGGCTCCGTTCGGACCTCCAAAAAACGGATGCTCTAGACTGCATCTAATTTTATGATAAGGCATTAAAAACAATACGCAAATAGAAAATTGCAAGTAGATGTTGAAAAGGTGAAGAAACGGTATTGCCGAAAAGGAAAATTTTTATATATTCCAAAATATATTTACAAAGGCACGATAGAACGGCCTCAGAATACACAAAGAAAAATTGAAAAAGACCTCAGGCATCTACACCTGGTCTTTATCGGGGCTCGACTCGTCGCTAGAACCCTCGGAACCTTAGGAGCCTTCGGGACCCTCAAGCTCGTAGAGTTCCTTTGCCTCAGCGTCAAGTCTCCTGGCTTCCTCAATCTTGGCCGACAGGTCTAAACCTTGGGCATGGATCTTTTCGAGGGTCTTTTTCCGGGATAACCGCTTTATGTACTCGGTCTTCATCTTTAAGCGGGTCTCAGCTACCACCACATCAACCTTGTACTAGGCCAACATTTCCTCGATGTCAGAAGAGGTTGCATCCAATTTGGACCTCAGCGCGACATATTCTTGTCCGAAGGCATCTCCTTCCGTGACGGCCGAGTTCAACTATGCTCGGAGATCATCATTTAGCCGAGACCACTTATGGGCCTTGTTCTTTGACACCCAGAGTTGGTTCTCGATTGATGCCAGCTCCACTTTTGCAGCCTTTTTTTCCAAAGCGAGCAGGTCCATCCTGCCATTAATCCATACCTCGGTCGTGGCCTTGACCTCATCCATCTTAGCCAGAAGCTGGTCGATCAGGTCTACCTTTTCTTGGACCTACGAAGTTGCATTGTTAGTCACCATGAGTAGCTTCTCGTTTTTAGACACAAAGATCCTTACCTTTTCGACTAGGTCGTCGTGCTCCGCTTCAAGGACGAAGCCTCCTTCTGAGCCTTTTCTAGTCTTGGAGAATTGGGAGGTCCTTAAGGGCCTCGTCTTGTTGCTCACTAAGAGCCTTGTACATGTCCTTATTTCGAACTTGCTCTTTGAGCTCAAACTCGAGTTGGCTGATCTCTAAGAAGGACCGAAGGAAGCTTTCATGATGATGCACTGAAGCTTGAAAAACAATAAAGTTATTAGAACAAGTCTAAAACTCAACACGGTTCACAAAGGGGTGCGAAGGGTAAACGCCTTACCCAATTCAGCGTCTGTTGTGCCGCGTTGAAGAGGCTCGACGTGCCCACCTCGTTCATCTTTGCTTGGTCCTCCTCGGTCACTAGGCATCAAAGGTAGATGGCTACGCCCACCGGCATGGACAGGACCCGGGCGTCTATCAAGATCGGAAGAACAACCGTCCTCTTGCGCATGGGGTCAACGCTCGGAGCGGGGAATTTCTTTACTAGTTTTAGGCTCGAACTCGGCTAGCTCGCGCTCAATGGTACATCCTTTTTTGGGACCTCCTGGTGACCAAGCCTGGAAAAGTCGTCTAGTGCGGCCATATCCATGCCGTCGAAAAATATGTTGAGGGCATCATTTGGGCCCTACGCCATCTCACTTGATTTCTCTTTGCTGTTTAGGCCTTCGAGCATGGACTCAGCGTAGGAGGGTGTTTCCACGATGTCAATGACACTAGCTACCTCCTTCGGGACATGAGCGGCTTCCCGAGAGACCACGGACTCTGCCTCTCTCTCTCTGGTCCTCGAGCTAGAGGGGGATCGACCTCATGGTCGTCTTTCCAAAGTGTTGCCTGCTCCCCCTTGTTAAGGGTCGACCCATGAGCAATAAAAAGGTCGTCGTCCTCGGGCTCATCCGTGAGCCGGTAGAGGGAATCAGAGTCCGGTACCTTGGACTCGTTGCTCTTTTTTATTTTTCGGACTCGGATGGTCACCTTCTTCTTCGCCTCGGCATTTGGGGAACCTGAGGACTTTCTTTTCTTATTCTTTTTCTCCTTCTTTGCGACAGCCCTGGATTATCCCGAAATAGAGGGTTCGGCAAGCGAGGGCAGATCCTCGTCCTCGTCCAACGGCCTGAGTTCGGTGGTCTTGGGCAAACCGGTAAGAAAAAAGGAGACTTAGCAATGTGTAAGATAAAAGTACGAAAGAAACTATTCGAGAAAGAACCTCACCATGAGAACGGGCCTCCCATTTGCCCTTTGAGAGCTTGCGCCATGCGCGCTTGGAGTATGGCATTTGTTTGCAGATCCCATCGATCCACTCCTTGAAGCGGGGAATTGCATTAGGAACTTGGGCAACAGCTCAACAACAACAAACACAAGCAATGAGAGAATGAATAAAGGGAAATAACTAATACTCAAGAAGGAAAATACTTATAGGATGCGTTCCATTTCTCAGTGAACGACAGGAATTCCGAAGGGATGGATCTTCGGTTTACACCTGAACAAACCTCCCCTGCCGGCCTTGATCACGATCCTCATCGATGCTTGAGAATGGAGCCTTGCTTGCTCGACAAACGAGCTTGATCAACCCCCCTCGGACGATTTGGGGACTGTATAGGCGAAGCAGATGGTTGAGGGTGAACCGAGGGGCTTCGGTGTTGTTCACGAAGTGTCATAAAAGGATTACGATCCTCCAAAAAGACGGGTGGATTTGCCTAAGGCACACCTCATACCTTTTGTAGAAGGCAAAGACTATGGGGTCCACCGGGGAAAGCGTGAAGGGTAAGTGTAAACACTTAAGTACCCCTCCATGTGAGTGGTGATGTCATTATTGGGCCCGAGGACGACCACCTCCTTACCCTCCCAATTATAGTATACCCCGACTGTGGGAAGTATCTCCTCGGTAACAGATCATATGTATCTCCATGCCCCCTCGCCTCAATCCTGTTGACTAGAGGCATTCTCGACGTGGAAATCATTCTCGATAGAGCAGCCCCCGGGTATGAAGCTCTTCAAGAGGGGCTCCTGAGCTACCTCGGGAATGGCCACCTCGGCATCTATAGCCGGATTGGAAGATGAAGGAGTAGTTTTTTGAGGCACTGACTTGGAAGATTTTACCATCGTAATCTGGAAAATATGAAGATTTGAAGGAAAAGTATGAAGATTTGAAGAAAGAATATGAAGATTTGAAGATGGGATGAAGGTATGAAGGTCTGGGTTGAAGCTCCAAAGAGAATGTATGAGGATTGAAGATGAAGATATGAAGGTTTAAGGAGCAATGTGTGAAGATCTGGAGGGGTTAAAAGCAATTGGAGAAGTCGAGGGTAAGTTTTGGAAGCGGAAAGTGGAAGAAGTGAAATAGGATCAAAGCTTTTATAGGGGAAGAACAATCAATGTGCGACATTTTGCTTTCGAGGACAGTCAACCGGCGGCTGACACGTGTCCGAAGTTAGATTGAAGTGATTGATGAGACGTTTTGTTAACCCGTCATCTTGTTGTAACGTAGGAAGGAGGGAACCGGGGTCCATCTATCGCTTCTCATCGTTTCGATAAACCTACTCTCTGAAAAATGAGGGGACTATATGTGTACGGGTAAAATCGGGAGAAATGCCTGCCCCGATTTCCCGATGACAAAACGGAGGGAGAGCACGGATGCACGAGACCCTTCGTATCGAGATCCAAGAAGGGTGAACTATGTGTCCTTCATCGTGTATGGTAAAGCGACACGCCCCGGACCAAGAATGAGTTCTAAGACCTCGGGAGACACGATGAACGGTTACGCATGACAGATAGAGGGTCGTGGCGGATCTCGCTCGATGTCAATTATAGATCAGTAATTACCAGAAACCGAAGATTTTTACCTTTTTTTACACTTATACTAAGGTTAAAACTCTCCTACTATATAAAGGGGAAGTTTTTCTTTTGTAACATATATTGGTAACACGCGAATTAAAGTAATACAAGTTTATTTTCTGTCTTTTAGCTATTGTTAACGTTTTGCTCATTTGTTCTGTTCTTCATTCACGACCGGGCTTGAACCGAGGGTCTGACTGAGGACGAGGTCATTTATCAGTCTAAATTCAGGCATGATCATAATATTGCAACTGGTTTGAATGTTTATTTCACTTCTAATTCATTTATTTGATATTCTATTCTTAATTGTTCGTGTTAGATTAAATCACATATCCTTAAAACCACATACAAATTTGATTGTTACCCAATTTTGGGGTAAACAATGTTAACCATGTTGGTAAATACATATATCATCAGAAGCGATCAAGAATTTAAAGTTTGTGAGTTCCTACCATGACCTTTAAAATATATTAATAATAATCAGGATCAACAAAATACTAATAGATATTTGGTAGATTTCTTTATACATATACATGGTTTATAATAAAAGTTACTTGATTCACGTGAACGCTTAAAATTTTATTATAAATTCGTTAAAATATATTATGTATTTATTGAGTTGGTATAATATTATATGAGTATTAATTTGCCTAAATTTATGTGCATATTTAGATGGTTGGTCGTTGAGGTTGTCGTTGCTAGAATTCAAGATGACTAGAGTTCTAAAGTAAGTGGGAAATGAAACAATAAATAAATTGTAAAACAAGTACTATAAGAAACGTCAAATCTAGTTAACCTCGTATGACCAAAGGGACCCCCCTTAGACAAGCGGTAGGATTAAGTCATAATCAAAATACAGTGGATGAACTGGTCATGGGCAAATATGGTAAATCACCCAAATAAAGACAATGTGAAAGTATTAATTTTTGGCCCACTCTAATCGCAGTTAAATTTTATAGAATTGGGACCCCACCTGAAAAAGATAGCCGTTAGAAAATAAAAACAGCTCAGTTCCGAAACCCTAGACATAATTCTTTCTGTTTTAGTAAGCTTTATCCACAGAACCATAATAAGTTTTACCAATACAAAGGCCAATGCATTTTTAGCTTTTGGAAAACTAGCCGTTATAGGGTTTTTAGTTGTATGTAGTAAAGGGGAGGGAGCCTTCTGAATATGGTGCCACACAGACCTGACACTTTTTCATGTCTCCCAATAAACTTTTCACAGATTCCTTCATATTAGCTCTATGTGCTCCACTTCACGTGCAGCTCCTCTTACTACAAAATCTTCTTGTAGTGTGAACTCTACTGTTTAGTTTCAAATTAGGAAGAGAAAATATCTTGTTCAATTCTAGAACCCTTAGTCTCTCAGTTAGGTAAGTGGTAATGGGAGCTAAAGATCGAATTTTTAGTAGTTTTGAACCATACCCATTTCGAGTTAACAAGTTTTTAACTCAACAAGGAGCTTGGAGAAGCATTATTTCTGATAAAAACAAGGAAAAATGGAAGATTGAAGCTGGTTTTTCTTGTTGTTCAAAAAGGTTCTTTCTATGTACCCAAATTTTCTTGTTATTTCAGCTACTAATTTCTGGAATTCAGCCAGCTTTAGGTCAGGATTGGGATGGTATAATTATAACTCAAGCTGATTTTCAAGCACTTGAAGCATTTAAGCAAGAATTGGTTGATCCAAGAGGGTTCTTGAGGAGCTGGAATGACAGTGGATTTGGAGCTTGTTCTGGTGGTTGGCTTGGTATTAAATGTGCTCAAGGACAAGTCATTGTAATCCAGCTTCCTTGGAGAGGTTTAGGTGGTAGAATTACTGAAAAAATTGGCCAATTTCAAGCTCTTAGAAAGCTCAGTCTACATGACAATTTCATTGCTGGTTCAATTCCTTCTACTTTGGGGCTCTTACCCAATCTTAGAGGACTTCAACTCTTCAACAATAAGTTCTCTGGTTCTATTCCTTCTTCTCTTGGATTTTGCCCTCTTCTTCAAACACTTGATTTGAGTAATAATTCATTGTCTGGTACAATTTCTGCTAGTCTTTTTAATTCAACTAAGCTTTATAGGCTTAATGTTAGCTATAATTCTTTGTCTGGCTCAATTCCCACAAGTATCACACAATCTCCTTCCCTCATTTTCCTTGACCTCAAATATAACAATATTTCAGGCTCTATTCCAAGTGATATTGGGAGGCTCTCTAGGCTTACAACACTTGATTTGTCTTTCAATGCCATTAATGGAAGCTTGCCCAAAAGCTTCTCCAATCTATCATCACTTGTGTTGTTGAACTTGGAAAGTAACCAACTTGATAACCAAATCCCAACAGCCATAAACAAGTTGCAAAAACTGTCCATTCTCAACTTGAGGAATAACCATTTTGGTGGTGATATTCCTGTCACTATTGGAAACATTTCTGCTCTTAGACAACTAGATTTAGCTCATAACAATCTAAGTGGACAAATCCCAGCTTCTCTAGGTGATTTACCAAATCTTAGTTCCTTCAATGTCTCATATAACATTCTGTCTGGACCTGTTCCAACCAATCTTGCTCAGAAATTCAACTCAAGTGCCTTTGTGGGTAATCTTCAGTTATGTGGGTACAGTTCTTCAACCCCATGTCTAATTACCCCGGCAGCTCCAGCCCCCTTAACACCAAGAAAACGGGGTCGTAAACTAAGTACTAAGGATATCATTCTCATAGCAGGAGGGGCTCTTCTCATAATCTTGGTTCTACTATGTTGCATTCTCCTATGCTGCTTGATTAGGAAAAGAGCAGCAGCTAAAGCAGCAAAGGATGGTGAAGCCACTGGTAGGGCAGCGGGTGCAGCAGCTAGAGGTGAAAAGGGTATTCCACCAACTGCTGGAGAAGTTGAAGCAGCAGGAGATACAGGAGGAAAGCTTGTCCATTTTGATGGACCTATTGTGTTCACAGCAGATGATCTTCTATGTGCTACCGCCGAAATAATGGGGAAGAGCACTTATGGTACAGTGTACAAGGCCACGTTAGAGGATGGCAGTCAAGTGGCTGTGAAAAGATTGAGAGAGAAGATCACAAGAAGTCAAAGGGAATTTGAGACTGAAGTCAATATTCTTGGAAAGATTAGGCATCCAAATCTTCTGGCCCTTAGAGCATATTATATGGGTCCCAAAGGAGAGAAACTTCTTGTTTTTGACTATATGCCTAAAGGAAGTTTGGCTACTTTTCTTCATGGTAAGCAGAAATCTGTTTTCAATTTTACATTTATTTGCTTTTATTTGTGAAATTCAGATTATAAAAACTAGTGCCTCTTTTGCAGCTCGCAGCCCTGATACACCGATTGATTGGGCAACAAGGATGAGAATAGCAAAGGGTACAGCAAGGGGCTTGCTCTTCCTTCATACAAATGCCAACATCATTCATGGGAATCTTACATCAAGCAATGTTTTACTTGATGAAAACACAAATGCAAAGATTGCAGATTATGGTCTATCGCGCCTCATGACTGCTGCTGCAAATGCAAATGTGATTGCAACTGCTGGAGCACTTGGCTATCGGGCACCTGAACTTTCAAAGCTCAAAAAAGCCAACACGAAGACAGATGTATATAGCCTTGGTGTTATCATACTGGAACTTCTAACTGGGAAGTCACCAGGAGAGGCAATGAATGGTGTAGATTTGCCTCAGTGGGTTGCTTCAATTGTGAAAGAGGAATGGACCAATGAAGTGTTTGATCTAGAACTAATGAGGGACGCGTCTGTAATCGGTGATGAACTACTAAATACTCTGAAATTGGCATTGCACTGTGTTGATCCTTCACCATCAGCTCGACCAGAAGTTCAGCAAGTTCTCCAGCAATTGGAAGAAATTAGACCTGAAACAGCTACCAGTTCTGGCGATGACGGTGCTGCAGCTCCCTCAGCAAGTGATGATTAGATACTAGATTTCTGATCTAAGTAATTTTTAGGAAGATGTTTAGGAGTTAGATGCCACGATTCTTTCATTCTTGAATTGGGTTGGTCAAGAGAGTGATTTTGTTTACTGTCTGTAAATACTACCCAAGTGTGTGCTACTCCATTTGTTTTTGTTATTTTGAGCGGCAATGGAATCCTCCTAATTTCCATAATTTTTGGTCCTAGAGAACTCGTTCAGTTTAGCAGTGAACGGATTGTTAGTACCAGAGTTGCGAGTAATGTTGTTGGACTGGACTCTGGAGTACAATTATTAGATCCAACGTCCCTCTCACGTCAAGCTGAACAACGTAGGATATACATACAACCACTAAGAGACAGTCAATGCATCAGCCAAATATTATTGCTCCATGCAACAACGTAGCAAACGTAATGTAAGGTTTGAAGAAGAAAGAAAAAAGATCAAGAAAAGTATTTCATAAAATTTGTTAACAGGTTTGCGTACAAAGTGCAGCATACTACATCCTTAGGAGGAAACGTAACATGATCAAATTGAGGGGTCGTTTGGCATGGTTTATAAAAATAATGCTGAATAAGGTGTATCAGTAATGCTTGCATTAGTTATATAGACATATTTCTTATCCATTGTTTGGTTTGATATAATAAAGCATTGCACCATTTTTAAAAGAATTATTTGTTTACAAAAATACCCCCATAGCTACTCCAGCACTTTATTTTATTAAAAAAAACATATGTTGAGGAATATTTTTATATGAACAAGGTTTTAAAAAAATTATTTGATTCTCTACCTATATAGTATTAAACTAAATATTTATTTATAAAAAAGAAAATATGCCAAGTATTTATTTATTTACTAGAGATATAATTGTATTTTTCACTTTCTTGGATTATTTCAAACTTTCATTAATATAAGAGCATATTTTAATCAAGCATAAATTTGAAAGGACAATTTTGTTTTTAACTAAGCTAATACATGCATTAAAACTCATTGCATTGTTAATACCATGGTCTCTTATGCATTAGTTATGCATAGGATAATACCAAATAGGGTGTATAATTAATGCTTGCATAACTAATGCATAGGTTCAAAAAGTGTTCCAAACAAGATATTATAAATACACAAAGCTAATGCATGCATTATTTTATTAATGCATCCTACTAAACGACCCCTGAGCGTAAAAATAAAAAAATTGTTTGAAGGATTCAAAGGAAAATTTGTTTTCTATTCCTAGAGGCTTGAGACCTTGGTGATGTGAACTTGCTGAAACTGATTGAATAAATACGATAATTTATAGCAAGCAGTGTGGTAAATGAAAGTTCCCAAAGGCTATCAATTAGAACTCTACGAGGACAAAATGTTGGATCAAACATTTACATTTGAGATATGAACCTGTCTCTAAGCTAGTTTACAAATCAAGCAGAATACACAAGGGGAGGGGGATAGGTAGGCGGTTAAAGGAAAAAATAAAGGCAGAAGCTAAAAAGCCAATATGTACAGCAACTCTTCAGCTACCATGTTTTGCATATCCACTAGTTTCCTCTGCAACCGTTTCCCAAACATTTGCCATCTTTTCTGCATACCCTGCCTGGTAAAATTCAACATGTTATTTTTTCCTATTAATCTTTTCCAAGGAAATATAAGAAGGAACAATTAAAAGGGCTAACTCTAGCTAGAAAGGAAAATCACACCAGTAATAGCAGAACGTCCAATCCAGTTCACAGGTGACATACCTTATATAAGAAAAGTTTAGAGGTGACCCAAAGTTTCATGTATGACCGACCAAAGATCTACCTTGTCACAAGAAAGTTCAAGTGGCTTTGCTAATATCACGTTTTCAAGTCCCAGAAATAAATGGATGACAACAATTTTTAGTCAATCATTTATGATAATGATGGCTCAAACTGGAAAGCCAACTGCAGCAAAAACAAGTAGGAAAGATAGAGGAAGGTAATAATTTGTTTGAGTTGAGTTGATAATGTATGTTAGCCTTCAGTTTAGCCATGTTATCATTATTATAAGCATTCCTTTTCAAGTTCTCCTCCAAGATGGCTAAAACAACTTAATCCCAAAATGTATAGCCTCTTTCTCACATTTAAATGCAGGACCAGATTTAGGGGTTCGTGCAACGCGGAATGAATCAAGTCACCATCTAATTTAATCTGGCTTAACGAAGCAAGGACTTCAAGCAATTCAATGAAGCCGGCGAGAGAAATGAAGAAGAGCGGCTCGATCTCCGCAATGCCTTAACTTACTAAATACGGGAATGAACATCGGAATCAACTCCATTGATTTGCAGTAGTGTCCCAAATTTTAAAATGGACACAACTGCTACATGCATAGGATATCTCCAAGTTATTGCATGCACATGCTTGTATTCCAAGTCATATTAGTGGATTAGGACTACACTGATGTGTGGGGTCCTTCTCCAGTTCTCTCCATTGATCAAAAGTTATACTATGATATTTTTGTTGATCATTTCACAAGGTACACATGGCTTTATACTCTCAAAAATAAAAGTGATGTCTAGAAAGTCTAACAATATGCTGCTGCTTAATATATCTAACAATATCAGTAACTTGATTTCAGATTTGATTTTATTCTAAAGAGCTGATTTTATTTTATGATTGTAATATGTTAAGATTAGGATTGTATCTTCGTAATTTAATGTCTTTCCTTTCACCTTACCTGTAACTCTGGGATTCAATTCCCAATCAACTGTATAAAAAGGAGATCACCATAATACAACATATACAACATACACTCATTCATCTCTCACAACAATGCAACCCAAAACCTAACCAATAGCCAATTATCTTATCCACAAGAGAGTAATTAGAAATGGCTACAAGAGCCCAGAAGAATAAAGATTGGAAGTATGCTAGACTATCCTAAGGATGACCATTTGACCTGATAGAAACAGAGCAATGCAGAGCAGCATTCCAAATATTCCGAGTCTCTAGTTCCTGTGTTCATAGCCTCTGAAACCCACTGACATGACCCAAGATCCCACATTAGTACTTAATTGATTATCGATCTTCTACTTGCATCCATGTAAACCAAAATGACCAGCACCATTTCAAGCAATTATCGCAACCTATCAGTCTAAAGAGCTCTTATTTTGAAACAAATTCAATTCGTACTATTCTTGGGACATGATTACAGTGCAAAACCTACAGAAAACTTTTGCATTTGTGATGTGCCACTGATTCCTAACGGGCATAGGACGACTCATCACCTATAGTCCATCAGTTATGCATCACTAAACCTCGAGTTTAAAGGAGTTAACGCTAGGTAATATTCCTCAATGATGTCTACTGTGCACCTACGGTTCAAAAAAAATTGTTCACTGTGCACTGAGAAATGGGAAACGACTAGCTAGTGATGGACCTTGACTCAAACCATGTATTGACCTGCCCGTTGAGACACAACAAGAGAGGAAAAGGGACAAGAGGCACCCAACCATTTTCATTCCACAAGGCAATAAAGAATGGCTGAAGATTACAACCTATTCCAAAAACCTCTCTCTCTATATTTGTATCTATCTCCTTTATCAGATCTTTCTCTCATCATTTAACCATTCCACACAACATTTTTCTATTGAGCTAGAAACTTTAACAAACTCAGTTTGCACATGGCAATGAAATAGGATGGAGCAGGAAGAAGGAAAACGGTTCTCCCTGAGTCTGCAAGTTAGAGTAAGAGGTTAGGGAGGATGCGATAATAAAGGTCCTTTCTAAAGTAACAGAAACAAGGACCCTCCCTTCCACCCAAGAGATTCAGTTGTTCATGAAAAGCCTAAAAGAAGAAGAGCCTGATCTAAGAAAAGCAATAGTGAAGACCAAAACACAGCAGCTAGAATCCTATTTAAAAACCCAATTACGTTAACAAAGGTAACGTTAAAAAATACTCCTCGTGTTTTGTGACTGGAAAAACATACATGTTAGACAACTATTCTCGCAATACAGTTGGTACATTTTGATATCCTCCGCAGTATAGTTATTTTCCTATTACTCGTCTCTATAGGGGAAACGTACGCCCTCCTTATCCTTCTTCCTTTTCTTTTTTTTTTTTTGGCATAAGATATTCAGATGAAATTTACCATCTTTCATTCTAATAATTTCTTCAAGGAAACACTTATCTCACATATTTATTTTTCTTGCATTTGCTAAATAAAACGAAACAAAACACTTAATTTGCTTGGAAAAATGGAGCCGCTTTTTGAAAAGTGATTGGAGAAAGGACATTATCCTCACTATATTAGATGGTAACAACTTACGAACACAAATAGATTAAGCATGCTTAACATCGGATTCAAAGTGGTCTATAATATTAGTTGGACATATTGGAATAAATCAAATGCCCCATAAAAAGCATTTGACAAGGGAAAAAAACAAAAAGCATGCTCCTTGGAACAATGCTTTCAGAGTAGACATTTGATGCGGCAATACTAGAAGACAAAGATACCTGATTGACAATAAATCCTCTCAACATTCCCAAGAAGTCATCATGCCTTTCCTTCTCAAATCTCTCGAGCTCATTCTTGTTGTTTTCCTGCATGTTTCACCATCAAGCAGCTATAGTGTTAATCTCAGTGAAAATGAAAAAACAGATAAATTATGCAAAATAGGAGAGAAGATAAATTAAATATCCTCTTTACAAAAATTAATATTTTTTCCGATGTGAGTGCAATTTAAAAATAATAATCAAGCGTTGTCTTCCTACATGAACCATTACATCAAATCAAACAAGTTGAACTGGTAATACATGCATGGTCACTCTAGTGAATGAAGCGGGAGCCTTGTTGGGAGGTGTTTTACATAAAATAACTTCAGCACCTTAAATTGTTAAAAAGAGACTAATGAAAAAACATTTAATGGGCACTGATTTAGCAAACCCAGTAACTCTTGAAAAAGAACATGGAAACCAAAGGCTAAATATCATTGACAGTAGTAGGTTGAATAAATAGAAAATTATAACTAGCTTTATATATAAGAAAAATGGCTCTAAGAAGCCACATTCAAATAAGATATCAACTTCCTAGGGACAATGAAAATAAAATATCTACTTTATTGTAGCATGATTGGTGATATTACTTGTCCCACCTTGGTTGAAGGAATAGGTTGTTGTCTTCTTACATGTTCTCGGGCAATTCTAGCCTCATGAGCTAGCTTTTGGAGAATAAGTTAGGCCCAAGGTCAATTTTTTTCTTTATAAGGCTATGGGGTTGCAGGAGAAGTTGCTGGCTATGGGGGCTTGGAGGAGTAGTGGGGACGCGAATGGTATGTGGACGATGACAGCGAACTGCATAGGGAGGCTGTGAAAGAGGTGTTAGGGGTCTCGAAGAGTTACTCTGGGGACAAAAAGTTGTTCCGGCTGGCCAAGGTAAGAGAAAGGAAGGCTCGTGATCTGAACCAAGTGAGGTGCATCAAAGACAAGGAAGGCAGAGTTTTAGTAGAAGAGGCAGAAATCAAGCGAAGATAGAAGACTTACTTCCATAAACTCCTAAATGAAAAGGGGAACAGGAACATTATGCTGTGATTTGCAGCACTCCGAGAGTCGTCATGATTTTAGGTATTGTAAGCGCATTTATATTGAGGTCACGGGGCTGTGCGTAAGACGAGCAGGGGCAGAGCGACTGGGCCAGATGAGATCCCGATAAAATTTTGGAAGTACGCGAGTAGGGCGGGCTTGGAGTGGCTGACTGGGTTATCTAATGTCATTTTTAGGACGAAGAAGATGCCCGGAGGATGGATGTGGAGTACGATGATTCGTTGTACAAGAACAAAGGTAATATCCAACATTATAACAACTATATAGGTATCAAGTTGCTTAGTCATACTAAGAAAGATTGGGAGGGGGTGGTGCAAGTGAGGGTAAGGAGGACTGTGTCTATATCCGAGAATCAGTTCGGTTTCATGCCGGGACGTTCAACTATGGAAGCCATCCATATTGTTAGGAGGTTGGTGGAACAGTATCGAGAAATGAAGAAGGATTTGTATATGGTATTTATTGACCTAGAGAAAGCATACGATAAGGTCCTTAGGGAGGTTCTTTGGAGGTGTTTGGAGGCTAAAGGTGTTCCGGTAGCATATACTAGGGTGATTAAGGATATGTATGATGGCGCTAAGACTCAGGTGAGCACAGTGGGAAGAGAGTCGGACCATTTTCCAATTGGGATGGGGTTACACCTAGGATTTGTGCTCAGCCTATTCTTATTTGCATTGGCGATGGACGAACTGACACATCATATTCAAGGGGAGGTATGGTATACGTTATTAGCTGATGATATGGTATTGATTGATGAGACGCGAGACAGTGTTAACGAGGAGGTTTGGAGACAGACCCTAGAAGGTTTCAAGTTGAGCAGGACTAAGACAGAATACTTGGAGTGCAAATTCAACGGCGTGACGGGGGGAGCGAACATGAACGTGAGGCTTGACTCACAAGTCATCCCTAGGAGAGGAAGTTTCAAGTATCTTGGGTCAGTTATCCAAGAAAACGGGAAGATTGACGAGGATATCACACACCATATAGGGGCGGGATGGATGAAATGGAGGTTAGCATCTGGAGACTTGTGTGACAAGAATGTACCACCAAAATTTAAAGGTAAGTTCTACAAATCGGTGGTTAGACCTACTATGCTGTATGGGGCAGAGTGCTGGCCACTCAAGAACTCCCATATCCAGAAGATGAACGTAGCTTAAATGAGCATGTTTAGATAGATGTGCGGGCACACTAGGTTGAATAAGATTAGGAATGAAGATATTCGGGTGAAGGTGGGCGTGGCCTCGATGAAGGACAAAATGCGAGAAGCAAGACTTAAATGTTCGAGCATGTACAGAGGAGAAGCCTAGATGCCCCAGTTAGGTGTGAACAGTTGGCTTTGGCGAGTATGAGAAAAGGCAGAGGGCGGCCTAGAAGTATTGGGGAGAGGTGATCAGGCAAGACATGGTGCGACTTCAACTTACTGGGGACATGGCCCTTGACAGGAGGGTGTGGAGGTCGAGAATTAGGGTAGAACAGTAGTAGGTAGTCGGGCGTTTTTCTGATCCATAACGGGTTGTGTAGGCCTAGTCTGTTGGTATCTTGTCGTTGTTCTTAGATTGTTAGTAGTATATCTATTTTCTAACTATCTTTCGCTTCGGTTTTCTAGTATCTTGTCGTGGTTACTGCTTGTTATTATTGCTATTGCTATTGCTATTGCTTTCTTCCATTTATTTTAATGGTTCTCACATTGTTATCATTTTTCTAGCATTAGTCGTTGATATTTGATTGTTTTCTACTCATTTTCTCAAGCTGAGGGTTTTCCGGAAACAACCTCTCTACCTCCGCAGGATAGGGGTAAGGTCTGCATACACACTACCCTCCCCAGACCCCACTTGTGGGATTTTACTAGGTTTATTGTTGTTGTTTTGATAAGGCCCAAGGTCAATTTTCTTAACATGGTATCAAATCCAAACCTATCCTATTCTTAGTTCAATCAATACTGGGACCCCATGTTATATCTTGCACGCACCAGATGTCTCTAAGCGTGTCGAGGGTTGTTAATTGTCCCATATTGGTTGTCGGGAATAGGTTTTCATGTCCTTACATGACTTTGGGCAATCATCACATGACGAACTAACTTTTAGGACTGAGTTAGACCCAAAATGTATTTTCTTAACAGGTGAAATATTGAATACTACTCCCGCCGTTTCAATTTAGATGGGATAGTTTGACTTGGCACAAAGTTTAAGAAGAAAAGAATGACTTTTGAAATATATGATGCTAAAAGCTAAAGGGTTAAAAGCTTTGTGGGTCCATAAAACTTGTACGACTATAAACGCTTCTCATTAAGGGTAAAGTAGGTAAAATGAAAAGTTCAAAGTTAAATTATTTCTAAATATAGAAATGTGTCATTCTTTTTGGAACAAACTAATCGGTAAAGTGTGTCATCTAAATTGAAACAGAGGGAGTAACTCTTTTGCCCCGCCTTACCCGCATCACCTACACTATATATAGTTGACAACACCTGATTAATCAACTAGAGATATCGTCCCAACAATAACGTTCTAAGAACTTTAAATGAATCTTCCAGTTAAACCTTCTGAGGAAGTAGGACTGTCCAATCGTAATCCTAAACACCCATAAAGCTATTGTTCATGTTCTACCAGAGTAGTAGAAACCTCACTTTCTGCTTCACTAATCCAATATGGGCAAAAGGAATAGATCTTTAACAGCCTATAATAGAATCAGGCATGAACAAGATCCCATGTTATGAAATTCCAGGATACCAACTTTGGTTCCACTTGTGGAATTCACAGTCATAACTGAGAGATGACTTGGACCTGAATATCATGAACTCGATAGCTATGACCTATTTTCATCCCAAACTTAAGTTTGAGGTATTGCAAAGATGCTCAAAGAAAGGTCTAAATTAGATGAAAGAAAGAGCTAATACCAACAACAACAACAACAACAATCCAGTAAAATCTCATAAGTGGGCTTTGGGGAGGGTAGTGTGTACGTAGACCTTAAACCTACCCGAGGGGTAGAGAGGCGGTTTCTGGAAGACCCTCGGCTCAAGACGACAAAAAGAAACACTATATCAATACCATCAACTGAAAATTGAAGAGATAATGAAAGCAACATAAGAACCAGAAAATAGATGTAAAGCAAAAACAATAACCAGTAAATAAAGCTCGGCACAATGAAAACGGAGAATAGTGTGAATACAACATTAACCACTAGCAGTCAGAGACGCAACCCTATCAGACTAGCCTCAGCCACCTCCTAACCTACAACCCTAATATGCGACCTCCACACCTTCCTATCAAGGGCCATGTCCTCGAAAATCTGAAGCCACGCCATGTCATGTCTGATCACCTCTCCCCAATACTTCCTAGGCCCCCTCTATCTCTTCTCGTACCCGCCAAAACCGATCGCTCACAACTCCTGATCGGGGCATCCGGGCTTCTCCTCCATACGTGCCCGAACCATCTAAATAGTAGTGTAATATCTGGAGAAATTCAGCCTTATTTGAAAAGTGCATATATATATATATATATATATATATATATATATATATATATATATATATATATATATATATATATATGCACAGATAGGAGGTGAGTGCCGATCAGTCACCCAGGTGAAGCATTTTGATTAACTTCCCATTGCAGTCTATTTATCACTTTTTTGCCCCCAATTACTGAATAATTGCTTCTTCTCAACATATCATAACTTGAGCACATGTAGCCTTGAACTGTGAAATTGAGTATAATTAATCCAATTTTTGTCAACTGACCAGCACCTAGAAAAAGTTATCCAAAAAGTATACATGTCTTTTTCAACATTAACTGTATGATTTTCAGTCACTTTAAACACAGCAAAGAGGATTCATCGTCTAAAGAAAAGAGACAATGATGCAGATGATATGATGATTAATGATATGGATTGCTCACTATGCAGTAAAGAAAAAGAAGATACAAAAATCAGAAATCTTCTTTAGTTGCATCACTAACTATTAGCATTTGATGGTACCTTGATCTGCTCATACTCCCTCACAGCAGAACTTTTGGCATCTTCAGTAACTCTAAGAGTTTCTTTGAGCTCTTCTATTTTACGAATTCTAGACCTGTCCCCACCAAATATCTTAGATGAAGCAGCTTCAAGTTTTTCAATCCTTGAATTCAGTGATGACAGCTCTGACAACAATGTCTGTACAGTCAGAAGAGCACTTGACCTATCCGAAAATGCATTGTTCACAGCTAACATGACTCCAAGGTATTCATGGAGCTTATCCTGCAACATTTCGACACTTGAACAGATAATAAGCAAATGCAAAGAAGTCTTCCAGTGCATATTTTTTTACAATTAGTAAAAAGCACAAGCAATTAGGATGTGTCCAAACAAGACAGACTCAGATGAATGCCAGGTAAATCTTTGTCCGATCAAGTATATCAGGTGCATCTATGTACATCAGCATTCAATTTTAAAAAAGAGAAACTGATATGAACTCACCAAATGTTTGACAGTTTGTGCATTTAGCTCCCTATATAGCCTGCTCGACTTAACAGCAGCAGTTGCGACATTCTTCATATCTGCAGCCCTTGTTCTTTGTGAATCATAAACTGCTTGCTCTGTCTCAAACTTTGTTAACTTGACGAAAGCTAGGCCCATTTGCCCCATGGTTTCTCCAATATCCTGCTGAGCTTTTACAAGTGCTTCAGCCTGAAGAATCATAAGAATAAGGTAATTGCTCGGTGCCAGTAATGGTCAAATAACTCTCCCAGCAAAAGACTACTGAATAGATCAGATAAAGATGTTCATGTTCAGTCTAAGAAAATACTGCACACAGCACGGGCAGTACTTTCATAATAAGTCTTATGACTATGCAATAGCAGTAAAATCTACCAAGTGAATTCACATTTATCCAAACTGAAATTTGTTTAGCATACCATCAATGATGTGCATATTGAACATGACTATAAGACCAACTTTAAGGTACTGCTAAATAATCAATCAGATGTTAATATTCATAATATTTACTGTATCCACATTCAATAAAAGAGCAGATATTAACCTGCTGAGACACATTGCTGAGCTGCTGCTCAAAATCCTGCAATTTCTCTTTCTTTTCCAGTAATTCCTTGTCCTCCTCTACTAAAGGTGGCTTCACACCACCCCAATCATAAGTCACAGATTGCTTCAACTCCTTAAAGATTCTCAATAAGTCCCTACCTCCTTTGGCAGGCTGAGCCACCTCATTCACATCCACCATTCCGCCTACTACTGTCTCAGCGCCAAACATCTGTTTCGGTAACTTCACCGCCCCATCCAACATCCTTGACGCCACATCCGTGGTCCTCACCAGCGGCAGCTTCCCATTCGCCTCCAGAAACATCCTCAGCTCCTCGCTCCGCCGAATCACCGGATGTGCAGCTAATCTCCTCAGGTACTTCTCCAGTGCTGCTCTCCTCTGTTCCAAAAACTCCTGTTTCTGCATCACCTGACTCTCAACTACACTCTTGTCCGGCCTTAACGGAATGAAAAAACCTCTGTACGACTCCGCCAACCGGTCGGATAAAGTCACCACGTCTCTAAATCTCCTCCGAACGCTGAATTCAGTTCCGTCGAATTCAGGTAAGTTCGTCCTCGTAGTAATTAGGTACGTAACATAATTCGACCCCCCTGGAACGAGCGAATTCGTCAGCTCTTGCTCTTTCAGTGGATCCGAAACGCTGATTCTCAGGAATTCCGAGGATGAGGACGGAGACGAGGAAGGCGAAGCGATAGAGTGATCGTGACCGTTGATTTCAGTAGGAGAGTGATCGGCATCAAAGGATCTGAAAATAGCCTCAGCATAAGAAGGAGGTTCAAGGATAGAATTGAAAGAATTAGGGGTTTGACTTTGCTCAGCGGGAATTTCAGCGAACGGCAGAGATGAGGAGGAAAGTGGATCGGAGAATGAATGAGCGCCGTTGGATGAATCGTCGTTGAGGACTAGTGATTCCATCTCCTCTTTGGATGCATATAGATGAGACTCTTCGTAACTCTGATTCTCATATCCCATCATCTTTATTGCAATCTCTTCGAAATAGTATAAATTAGAGAAATTCACTAAAATTTCAAAGAGTGGAAGAGAAAAGGAGAGTCTAGAACTGAAGATGCCGGAAAGGGGAGAGAGGCCGTCGCCGGCAAGAAGAAAGAGTGGTAGCGGGGAATGCACGGCAAGGGAGAGACTGACCTAAGCTAAGGGCGACGAAAGTCGACGGTGAGAACGAAGACTGCACGATGGCAAGTGGAAGCACGTGAATAGCATGTGTTGTAAGAAGCCCCGTAACTGATACGAGTTGTAGTACATTTTAACTTCGTGATTCATGAGCTGACATTTGGATTTTGGATTGAATTAGTTTTGGATTTGGCTTGATCTTCTTTGCAAAATGAATGTATTTAATTTGGATTTGATTTTGAATAAGAAATTAATTTTTAAGAAATACTACTATACTTGAATATCCATAAAAAAAGAAAAAGTGGAAGCCAATGGACAATCTCTATTTGCTACAAAACGTATTTTTGAATTGTTGAAAATATATTTTCGAAAAATATAACATAATACTTAAATCGCACTCCAACTTGCAGGCATTTATCAAATTCCAACATTGGAACCACTAAACTCTTTTAGGACTTCCAGCATAAGACCAAATCAGAATCACTAACAAAACGTTTAGTTTTCTATTAAAAAACTGAGTAACTAATACATGCATATCTTATACTGAACTTTATGTCTTATTTATATTATATGGAAAATATGTTGAAGAAGTGTACATATACATACTAGACAAAAGTAAGCTTCCTTTTTTAAGTTTATATAAAGAAAATCTGTTTTACAGCATAATCAATCATGATAATATGATATAATAAGAGTTGAATTTTAATTTCTTAAAATTAGATTTTTATAAGTTCACCAACTAGTAAAGCTAATTCTTGAGTGTGTATCACAATGTTCTTGACAATCTTTATATTTTTTCTTTACCAAAGTGGCGAAAGACAATTTCTTCCATTTGGTCCTAGGTGATGTTTAACTGTATTACTATTTTATATCTGCGCCTAAATTTTTAGAAAAAATACGCTTCTAATTATCTAATTATATCTTCACGCTCGTCCTCACTCATAAGACTTGATTTTTTTAGGCGTCACATCCTTAGTCGTTAACTAAGTACACGTGTGGCACTTGACAAGTTGCTCACGATCTTGCATAACTTGCTCACATTCTTGCTATGCCAAGTCAGCCTTACTACACTCAAGATCGCTAAGAGAGTGTTAGAACACAGGAGAATTGCCTAAGGAAGCTTTTGTATTAGAGAGAACTTAATTGTCTTGCTTGGTGAGTTTACAAATGAATGCCCCCTATTTATACTAATCACCTAGGGGCTAGTGTGTAAATAATAATTGTTCCACAAGTCCTTCCATATTTATCAATAAGTACACTCTCTAGAATCTTCTATATAGCTAGAATCTTCCAAGTACTTTCCATAGGGTTGTAGGGTCTTCCTAATGAAACCTCTATATTTTTCTAGAACCTTCCTACAAGTGCATAAATATCCAGAGCTTTCCCAAGGAAATTCTCCATAGTTCTAGAATATTCCACCAAGATCTAGTCTCTAACTTATATAACCCTTCCATATGGCAAAAACATATGCCAAGTGACACCTACGTGGCATGATGATGTGGCGAGTCATGACACTCAACCCCACCCAATTTTGTGCCGCCCTCGACACAAAGCATCGACACGTACATGCGCACCTCGCCTTGGCGTCGCCGGAGATCTTTGTCCATTAGCCATGATGCCCTATGAAGCGGTTTGCCTTCTCATGTTACAAGGTACTGGTCACCTTTCTTTTTGCCCTGTTTGTACTTTGGACGGCTAGCAATGATGGCCTAGATCCTCCGCCCATCGAATGCCCCTCCTTGCTCAAGGCCTGAATCTTCTCATGACTCAACCAAGTCTAGTAGCTTCTCAAGCATCAAGTCCATGCTTCCACTCCCTATTTGGCTGCCCTCTATGGTCCAACCTTACTGGCAAACTTGAACCCTCTGCTTGGTGCATCGTCTGAGTCCGATAACATGTCATCACTCTGTAACTCGCCATTCTCTTCAACTATGTCCGTCCAACTTTTCTTGCTGCCACCATGCTCCATTTGCATGGCGCCAAGATAGGATTTGGAATCCCCTACTTTCGGCTTAGATTCCAAGCGCATCCCTCCAATGCAGGCGGTTTCTCCTATGTCACCCTTATGTGCTTGAGCAAAGTTCCTTATCGTTGCTGCAAGCTTCCCCAACTCTGGGCATTCACTTGTCCAATGCGATCCTTCATAAAAGTAGCACCCTCCCTTAGGCACGTACTGAATACCATTTTCCGGCCCCTTGCCGTTTCTCTTGGACCCCTGTCCGTTATGGGATGGCCCCTTGCCATTGCCCTTGTATATATCGGCTATGCCTTTCCCGTTGTCCTTGTCATGATCTCCCCCACCCCTCTCGGTGTTGCCTTCTTTGAGCTTGGCAGGCTCCATCTTGAAGTCATCAAGCGACTCGGCTACCCCCATGGCCTCGTCCATGTTGGCTACTTGATGTCTTCTTAACTCCTGCTTTATCCAATTTTGCAATCCATCCATGAAGTAGAAGAGGGAATATTCTCCGGACAATGAAGAGATTTGCAGCATTAAGGTAGTGAACTCGCGCACATACTCCCGAATTATGGCCTCTGTCGGAGCTCCCTTAGCTTCCGCCAGTCTACCACCTCGTGTGCGTCCCGTGCACCGCCATAGTGCTTTCGCTTAGGGACCTTCACGTTGATCCCTTCTGCAAGTACCAAGCCCTTGGTAATTCCGGCCATGGTTCCCTACAAAAGCTTCATTCTAGCAATCTCTTGTATTCTTTAAAACATTCCTTTAGTCATAACCTTTGCTCTGATACCATGTTGTCACGTCCTTAGTCGTTAACTAAGCACAAGTGCGGCACTTGACAACTTGCTCACGATCTTTTGCATAACTTGCTCACGTTCTTGCTATGCCAAGTCAGCCTTACTACACTCAAGATCGCTAAGAGAATGTTAGAACACAGGAGAATTGCCTAAGAAAACTTTTGTATTAGAGAGAACTTGATTGTCTTGCTTGGTGAGTTTACAAATGAATTCCCCCTATTTATACTAATCACCTAGGGGATAGTGTGTAAATAATAATTGTTCCACAAGTCCTTCCATATTTACAAATAAGTACACTCTCTAGAATCTTCTATATAGCCAGAATCTTCTAAGGACTTTCCTAATAATTTCATAGGGTTGTAGGGTCTTCCTAATGAAACCTCTATATTTTTCTAGAACCTTCCTACAAGTGCATAAATATCTAGAGCTTTCCCAAGGAAATTCTCCATAGTTCTAGATTATTCCACCAAGATCAAGTCCCTAACTTATGTAACCCTTCTATATGGCAAAAATATATGCCAAGTAACACCTACGTCTCACGATGATGTGGCGGGTCATGACACAAATATGTGAAACTTTTTCGGTAATAACTGACTCTAAAACTTACACAGAACTTTAGCTTACTAACAGGGGTGGGTCTATTAAGGCTCGAGAGAGTATCGCGCTACCGCAACTTTTGGCTGAAATTCTATTTATATGTGTGTATATATTAAAAAAATTGTATAGATAACTATAGTGCCTCTTGGAGTGATAAAAAGGTGCTAAGGTGGCAGTGACAAAGTAAAATAATTTTCTCCTTGGTGGCTAGGGGTTGAACCTAGTGACAGCACTTTCAATTTTTTTGGCTTGCTGCACCAAATAGACAGCACAGGTCTCTATAATTTATTCTCATTGTTTTTCTTTCTTTTTCCTTAATTCCTCTTGATCTGATTTTAACTATTACTATTATAATTAATTATTGTTGACCTTTTTTGTGTGTCTACTAAGTATTAGTTATCTGATTAAGTATAAGAAGTTAGTATCAAATAACATAAGTTTTTTCAGAAAACCTTTATTCCATCACAAGATCAAAACAACAACCCTCGCCCATGCTTGTTTCATCTTTATATAACTTCATGCTTATGTGTGTCACGGCCTAAATTCCACTTTAGATTGTGATGGCGCCCAACATCGTGGTTAGGCAAGTCAATCCTAACAACTAGCGAGTTTTCAATTAATGTATTAAACATTCCCAACATTTTCCTTAACTTATATTTAAAACAGTCCATAATTGACAATCTCATAAAATTGGAAATACAACCCAAAAATGATAGTCTACTAATGTGTGTGCCAGGAACTAGTGTCACAAGTACTAGGGCAACTAGCAGAATATACAAAAGAATGTAACTATCCTACTGTCTGAAACAGAATAGATAGTAATAACAAAAGAAGAGACTCCGGCATGCTGCTGAATGACTCAGAAGAGGCAGCTCACCGTGGAATCTCGATCAAATATCAGGAACACGCGCCGGACTGGTAGCTAGATGTACCTGCCTCAGATGTTGTACATTTAAGTACTGAAGCGTAGTATGAGTACATAAACAATATGTACCCAGTAAGTATCCAGTCTAACCTCGAAGAAGTAGTGACGAAGAGTCGACTTGACACTTACTAGGGTCAATAATAATGTAAATTAAGTGTTATGCTAAGCATGGATGTCATGAATAAATAACAGTTGGTAACAGGAAGTGACATGTTCTTACATAGATAATATTTCAGTTAACAATCTACATTTCAAGGCATTTTAAACAGTTCAAACCACAGAAAGTACCAAGCATATAGCATGCGCAAATAATGCCGAGGTCGTACGGCCCGATCTAACATAAAAGTAAAGTGTGCACTGCGCGGCGCGAACCATAGATGCATCTATTACCCCGCTCGCGAATCATACATGCGATGCGGTCAAACACAAAAAACATATCAAGCAGTCAATCAATAATTTATCAGGAAAACAATTATCCACAGTAATGTTAAACTTCTCTTTAACGGTCAAGAAAATGATGCTTAACTTTTTTTAGAAATTCATTTTCCAAGTTCGATATGAATCACGTAATCTAATTTAACAATAAAGTTACAAATATGTCAAGTAGAGCATGTTTTTGGGTCCTAAACTACCCAGACTTAAGCATAATAGTATCTACGCACGGACTCCCGTCACTTCGTGCGAGCGTAGCCCCACAAATAGCAGCACATATCCAATTAATTCACCTATGGGGACAATTCCCTCTTACAAGGTTAGGAAGGAGACTCACCTTACCCCGAAGCTTACTTCCGATATCAAGAACGCGCTCAAACTCTCAATTTGGAGGCGAACGATCCAGAACTAATCAAACGGGGTAAGAACTAGTCAATACGAGCTCAAGAGTTCAT